CGAGGCAAAGAAAGCATTGAGTACAGGGCTTAATTTCAGAAACTAACTTTGAAATGAGGTCATGCTTTTTTTCTTGGTGTTAGTAATAAGATCCCAGTAAGATTTCAGGATCTGCACCGACAGATAAACTGCTGATGTTAGTGTCTGCTAAGCCTGAGGCAGTCTTAGTTCCCACTTTCCAATAGCAGCCAGAATTGTTAGCCTTGCATAAAGTAGTTATCAGAAATAATTAGGGTATCAGAAAGAAAGCTGAATATGTAGCTATGGGAGGGATCATTTTTTGAAGTTCAGTCCTTCTCCTTGAATACTTGCCATCAGAGCACTCTAAGGAATGCTCTTTGAAGCACACTTCTTGCAGTGTGATCCGTACTCATTTTAAGTGACTGCTAATGCCACATTAGAGGCTGCTGTGGTATATGACAGACACACGCTTTGTTTATAATTTGTAAATGCAGCAAAAGTAACCGATGCTTTACATCAACTACTTTCACAAATTTTCCCAGTACTGGGAAAAACATCCTTGTATACCTTCAGATGAAAGAGATTATTTGCCTAGCAGGGAAACCAATCATTTCTGTCTTGAAGCAAGCTGCTTCTCCACTGTAGCTGTAGTGTCCAGAGGCCCTGTTGTGCAATTTGCAAAGCCATTAGGAAACAAAGGGCAACCCAGAGAAGAGCTGCATCTGAAGGCTTCAAGGATTCCACCTAACTGGGAGAAATAGTGACTTCAGAGCTGTAAGCTTTCCTCCGTTTTCTCTCTCCTGTCACAGACGCAGGGAATGGCAACTGTCTCTCTTTGAGGACAGCTTCAGTGCGACTCTTAGCCTGAATTGCTACAGAAAACAAATTATTCTTTCTCACTGAGCCAAAGGAGAGCAGCTTGTCTAAGTTGTCCTATCTCCGCTGACTTTGCTGTGCTATGTCAAATCTACATCCATTGATTACTTGCAGTCTTATTTTGCTAGTAGAAAGAACAGGAATCACAGCCAGAGGTAGATGTCACTGGAGCAGGGTCTTTCTAGTATTTCAGATATTCAGATCTTTTTTTTTTCCTGGAATTTATTGGCTCCTCTGCTACTGAGTGGCTAGTGCCACAGAACTTTTCCATATTGTGCCTAATTGATAGCTAGTTTCTGATTTCTAAGGTCTGCAAACCGTTTATGAAAACAAAAAAAAAGGTCGGTTCATTGTTATAAAAATACTGTGATAAAGCTTTTTCGGCTATTTCTGATGTTATGCCTAAAATGTAAGTAACAAACATAGCATGGCTTTATATGCTCTGGGACAAAATGGAATTTAAAAAAAAAAAGGAACACTAATTGCTGCTTCTTTGGTAGGGTTTGGTTCAGAGCACGCATGTATTTTTTTAACAGGAATGTTGAAATTACAGCTATAACATGAAAAGCCAGAGATTCTGTCTGTGGTGGCTAATGGTAGCACATTGATTGGCATACCCAAAAAAAACCAGTATACCAGATAAAAGAGATTTTAGACCTCTGCCTTCTTCAATAGCTACCTATTTCTTGGAATACTTACCTATTTTTCCTGTCTGTCATAAAATAATTATTGACTTCCTTATAGACTTTTTAAAGGTTGCATTTCTTACTGTACACACCTGTGAGTTCCCAGAAGTGGAGGCAGCCTGATATTAGCAATGAGATGACAATTTCTACAGTATTTCAAACTGCCTGAACTGATTTCTATTTTTTTACTTGGTTTTGCCCACCTTGTGAACAAAGATGGGAAGCTTGGAAAAAGTCTGTCAGCTTACACAATTATTCTGTATATTCTGAAGCAGCACTTCAGGAGTCTGATCAAATTGATTTCATATTTTCTCTTTGAATTACTAGAAGCTACTTGGATTACGTGTTCTTATAGGGACAAATTATCCTTTCAGCTGCTTCATGCACTAAGCTATAAAAATAGTAAACCTAAAGCACTGTCCCCACCTCAAGTTTACCAGGACTTTCTGTTCAAAATTTTCTCTTCACAAAAATCCTTACATTGCTCACTTCATGTTCTTTTTCTTTGTCTAAACATTGAAGGTATTAATGTTAAGATGATGGGTTTATTTTGGAAGGCTCTAGATTTGGCAGCCCTTGCTACTGAGCATGCACAATTCAAGGACTGGTGGTGGAAAGTCCAAATTGGGAAGTGCTACTATAGGTAAGTCACTTGTTTCTGCTGTGGTGTATGAGTGAACTGCTAAGTGTATTGCACAACTTTGAACACTGAGAAATAGTTCAGTAAGTATTTAGTTGGTGAGCACTGTGCTTACAGTTAAATTGCCTTTAACATACATGGTGACAATGTTCAACTGCTTGAAGTAAAGGCGTCAACATTTAGTACCTTTATGTAACTGAATCAGTTAGATCTTGACCTTTGTTAATGTGTTTCAAAGACATTTTTTGAAAAGTCAATAAATAAGTAGAAACAACTATTGTTAAAACAGACCACACAAAATAAACATTACAATATTAGCTTGAGAAATCAGCTGTCAGTGAGGGCTTCAGATTGGTGAAATAATAAAAAAAAATGAAATATTCACATTAGACACTTTCTGCCAAAGGTACATTACCCAAGAAGTACCAGTTCCAAAGGTCTGAAGCCTCACGGCTGGTACCCTGATCCCAAGCATCTGATAGAAATGACTTAGGAGTACCCTGACACTGTGCAGCAATATGCCTCTCTGAGGAAAGAGCGGCAACAGCAGGGAAGAGAGCTCGTTGCAAGCAGCATAGAGTGGTTGCTGAAGATCTCGCTATGATCTGTAGCAGCCAGTTCTACCAAGTCAGCTGAAACAACTGATACAACCTTGCTTGCCATAATTCAAACAAGTACTGCAGCACCTCCCCCTTTCATTCTTTACAGTGTGTTTGTCCCATGAATCTAAAACATCCGGATACCGTATTGGTGATTAAAAAACTGAAGCATCATCTGCAGTCTTAACAATTTTGTAAGCAATTCTTGTATGAACAGGCTGATAATGCAAAGCAGGTAGACCTTTAAAATTCCATGGTGTATCTTGGCTTGAAACTATTGCTTCTTTTAAGATGTCCAACTATACTTAACCTTTATGTGACATTGTGACATTCTTTAGAAGATTAGACTTTTTTCTTTTTTTTTTTTTTAGCTTAGAGATCATTCATCCCTTTCAGGATTTTTATGAATAGCGTTATAGAGACTAAAGCATCCAAGCAGGCACATATACTTCCAGGATCCAAAATTAACCATTAGCAGTGTTTCTTTGTTTTGGGTGGCTTGTCCTGGTTGTGTTCTGTGTTTCTTCACCAAGTGTACATGCTCTTTGGCTGAAGGAAAGAAAGGCAATTTGCATATGAGAAAGTGTACCTTTTTGCTGTTGTTGAAATGGTACAATCCTCTTAATTTTGTAGTCTATATAGCATTTACAGATTACTGCAAATCATTCTACAGCAATACTGCAAAACAAGCGCTTTCGAGGTGCAAGACTTCTGTGAGGTTAATGTGCCATATACTGCCCCCTCCCAAGTGATTTGCTTGGATGTTCTTAAGATGTGGTGCCATTCATAATACAGCATGTTTTCAGCAGTTAAAAGATTTTCAATATCGGCAAGAAATGTTTCAGCATTTCCCATCTGAGGTTAAGGGAAGGTGATTTAGAGATGATTAAGCATTCACTAAACTTTTTAGTAGGGAATATCTACACGATCTTTGCCATGAGTGAGGAGATTCTGCTCTAAAAACCATGTGGGTAGAAGTTGAGGCATGACTTCAATTGCTCGTTTTCTACTGTCCATTCTGTTCTGTGAAAACAAGTACATCATTATTTAATTAGCACCAGAAGCCTGCATGTACAAAAGGGGGCCAAATGTAATGAATTTGTCTTTTTCGTTGTTTTGAATAATTGTGTTTGTAACCTTAGTATATTTAACAGCGTGGGTCTTGTTAAAATGCACAGAAATATATGACTGCTTCACTATTTAATAAGCTTTTTAAAAACAAAACAAAAGAAAAAAAACCACAACAAACAAATACCAAAAAACATATGTATGTTTTGTCTCTTTAGGTTGGGATTATATCGTGAAGCCGAAAAACAATTTAAGTCAGCTCTCAAGCAACAGGACATGGTTGATACAGTCTTGTATTTGGCAAAAGTAAGTAAATTTGCTTATCTAAGAATGAAATGAAATTTCTTACTGTCCCTGAGAAGTTCATACACCAAAAGAGCTGAATATTGAGGTTGATACACTGTTAGGTTTAATAGTGTGTGGTCTTTGTATAGACCTGAGGCAATGCATGCTAACAGTTGAAACTGAAGTCTGTAGTTTATGAGAAGATTTTGGATCTTCCAGATTTCACACACCAAAAAAAGAAAAAATCTCCTATGTTACCATATTCTTTTCTCTAAACTCCAATGAGTATTTTATAGATAAGGAATTATTGGTGTTCCAATATGAAGAACAGTGTAGCTATATGTGGTCTCCTAGGAAACTAATGCAATAAATCAGTAAGTGAAGAGTGATGCTCAAAATCCTAGTTTCACAAGCAAAATCAAAACAAAGTGAGCTTAAAGGAAACAGTCAAAGACCTTGAAACAGTGTGTTCTGTCAAAATAAAGGCATTAAAAGCTTTAAAAGAACAAGTGGCACAGCTAAGCCTCAAAATTACTTGTTTATCAGGGTACACATCAGATTCTAAACATTATCTAAAACATTCAAGAAAAGGTGGCCTGTGAGAAACCAGAACTTTGTTTGTTCCTCTTGTCCTAGAAAAAGATAAAATTAGTTGCTCTTTATCAGCTTGCTTTATGCCAGCTCTCACAGTTCTATCCAAAAGTCATCACTACTAGTGGATAATTTAGATACTCACATTATGATACTTGCTTTACCTTTACATTTCCTTAGCAATTTATGCTTTGTGTTTAAATTATCATCATTGCTCTCTGGAGACTTGTCTTCAATACAGCAGTTGGAGTTACTTTACTCAATTAAGGTTAGTAATTTCAGATCTCTGTCACTACCAGGAGTCATTCTGCAAAACATGAGTGATTAAATTGGCAGAGTAATTGGATTAACAAACAGTGATTTGTTATGGGAGATATGCATCCCCCCGCATCATTACTAGCTCAAGTAAGAGCTGCATTTGAACTTCCACCTCCCACTCCATACACAAGCTTGCTCAAGAATAAAGCATCGCACACCATGATGTAGTGACTGTGGGTGGACAGGCAATAGAGTAGGGCACTGAGATGTAGTTAAATTTGACAGTACTGAAAAGATAAGACTTCAGTTAAGCAGCCATTAAAAAGATAATAGGATTACATAAAGTTCTGTGCCAACAGACTGATACCACGGTACCAATTAGTTTTCTGTTTATATTCATTATTACAACAGTTATCTGTTTGTTTTTTTAAAAATATTTTCCTGAAAACTAACTCATCCTTGAATTGTAATGTATGAAAAGATAAAAGACCAAAAGAAAACTAAAAAATTAAGAGTCTGTAAAGAATTCGGGGCCACCGACAAGTTACTTACAAAGTATTTCATGACCCAGTAGAGCTGGAAATGGTCTATTTTTATCAGAGATAAGAGAGATACCAGAAAGAAAATGGAGCCCTTCTGCGTTTAGCATCTGAAACTTAATGACTATAGCTGCAGTACTCGCAAAGAGTAGGTCTCCCCAAAGCAGTGGGAGGTTTCCCCAACGTTGGAAGTTATCCTGCCTATCTTCTAATTTCTTTTGCCCCTTATGTGGACAGCAGCTCTACAGTCTGCAGAGATGTTGGACAGTGTGATATGCCACTGCGTATGGAAATTATGTAGTAGAGTACTGTGGCTGTGTTGCCTTAGTGTAATATTTGCACAGAGGATCCGTAGTGAGTGCATCTTTGGAGTTGTGCTGGTTTTGGCTGAGATGGAGTTAATTTTCTTCATAATAGCTGGTATGGGGCTGTGGTTTGGATTTGTGCTGGAAACAGGATTGATAACACAAGGATGTTTTAGTTACTGCTGAGCAGTGCTTGCACAGAGTAGAGGCCTTTTCTGCCCCTCACACCACTGCACCATTGAGGAGGCTGGGGGTGCACAAGTAGTTGGGAAGGGACACATCCAGGACAGCTGACCACAACTGACCAAAGGGATATCCCATACCATGTGATGTCATGCTCAGCATATAAAGCTGGGGTAGAAGGAAGGGGTGGAGGTTCTGAGTTACAGAGTTTGTCTTCCCAAACCCTGAGTTTTCTCACTTTTACTCTTCCAATTTTCTCCCCCATCCCACTGTGGGGAGTGAGTGGCTGTGTGGTGTTTAGTTGCCAGCTGGGGTTAAACCACAACAGGGGTGAACATCCAGATGAAGAAATGGAGGGAACTTGAATCATAATGCTCAGAAAATATATCAACAAGAAAACAAGTCACTCACGTAGGTGGTATGTAGGAGTAAAATAACCAGCCGATGTTCTTCTTAATTAAGAAGTCATACATAGTATTTTCTTTCATCTGTGTACTTTCCACTGAAAATCTTTACAGACTAATTTAGTTGTAGGAAACTGTTGCTAGAAGAAAATAAGGGTTGTGACAGTCACAACAGAGACAGTTATTTAAAGTTTAAAATTTAATGCAGACACAAAATCCATCAGAAACTGCTGCATGGTTTATAAATTAAAACTCTAGCAAATGACTTGATCTGTTTTAAATGCAACTTGATTTAAAATATATTCACTGATGGGGTCATTAGTGCAGTCCTAGTCCACCAAGTACCATACCCCTGCCCAAAAAACCCAAACCCCTCATCCTTTTAATGCTTTTCACAAGAAAGAATTTTTTCTATCTTAATACAGGAAATGCAAGTGACATTAGCAAAATGACTGGAAAAAATTGCCTGGGTTTTTTAACTTTTTGCCAGTGATCAACTTGAGATGGAAAAAATGCACAAATGGCCTTTAATAGGAAGGAACTCACAGTCCAGAGCTCTTTGACAATTAAGAACTTGTCACTTGAGTGGTCATAAGAAAGAATTCTTTGCAAATGTCTGCAGCAGTCTGTATCTGTAGGGATGCAAAAAAAGAGCTTATGACTTTGGGTAGTATTTTGACTTTTGGCACTCAAAAGTCCATGAAGCTCAAGGGCATAGGCAGAAAATGTGTTTGGAGGTTTCTCCGGGATTCAGTTAACACTGATATTTTTCTTACATTGCATCACAAAATGTTTGTGTCAGGACACCAGCCACAGATTCTTTCCCTTTTTAGTCATATCAAGTATTATCACTATTTAATGTCATATTAAACAGGAGCACTCAAAACACTTTTCCACTCAGTGGGAGACAGATGAGTCACTCTAGCCATCTAGTTTCCCAAAGTAGGCATGCGGGGTTTTTCCCTTCGCTGTAGCTGTGTTTACCGTACCCCACAACAGGAGTGCTTTACGGTTGTACTCTCAGAGAGCTGCAGAGGTGGTCTCTATCAACACGCTGATGTCCTCTGTCCAATTCTCACACAACGTTATCCACATCACACATAGTCATTATCAACACAGAAGCCAAAATCACAGGGACTGAACTGCCCTCTTTCTGTTACGGGATTTTATTGTTTGTGACAGGGGAGGTTGGCAGAGCAGTAAGGAAATTTGAAAGTGTCACTGCTTTGTGCAGTGCAGCCTTATTTGACTATGTAAAATATTTTGGTATTCCGGCTCTATCAATCTGAAGATCCAGTTTTTTCAAGCCTAAACATAAGATTTAAAATATATATTAAACAGGAAAAGACTCAAGGTGATACCTTCACCTCAGTGTCAAAGTATATTATTTCGATATGAGGATAAATAACAAGGTACTTTTTTGGTTTATTAATAATGTACAGATTAATCAATAATGTCTAGATGATATGCATGCAAATTTAATTATCTTAATTAGTCTATTTTATCTTCATTACAATGATTTATTCAGTATTCACTCCATTATTTTCCCAGTATTATTCATGATCACAGCTAATGGTTTACTGCATAAAGAGAGGTGTCAACCCTTTTATTTATCTCCCTTGTTAAACAGCAGAACAAGTATAGAAGTCAGACATTTGACGTTTATATACACTTTTTATTTGCTTAGGTGTATTTGCGCTTGGATCAGCCTGTAACAGCTTTAAACCTTTTCAAGCAAGGGTTAGATCGATTTCCTGGAGAAGTGACTCTTATTTGTGGAATTGCCAGAATCCATGAGGTATGCCTCCACCACGTAATCCTTGTTGTGGCCAGGGGTAGCTGCCTGAGCAAGAAAAAAGAGCCAGTAAGAGCCAGTGGTTGAATGTAACTGCAAGGTCATCAAAAATTCATTGTATTAAAACTGCTGAAGTCGCCAACAGCCTGCTAGCAGGATTAAACAGCAAAATAGTCTACTCATCAGCAGGTCTTTATTAGCACTAGGTGTTACTGTTAGTTTCTTAAGCCAGTGAGAACAGTTGGAATGTGAATGTTTGTTAGTTGAGGAAGTAGATGTTATTTTAAGTAGGATTTGTTTTAAAATAGTTTTATTTTAGCTTGGCAAGCATGTGTTTTGTATTTTAAAAGTGTGTATTTTCATGTCATGTCGAACAGTGGACTGGTTTTCACTGAAAGTTGGTAATGATGCTGTTCCAGAACAAATGTTTTAAACAAAGTCATGATTTTTTTTTTTTTTTTATGTCTACATTCATACTTGGCATTCTTTCCTCTTCTCGTCATTCTCATCTAACCCCTAAGCATTAATCCATTTTCATATTAAATCCTTTTTGTCCTTCAGCAAGGAAGAAAACAGCTGCATAATTTTTGGAGGCTTTTCTTTCTGAATTGTTAAACAGTTTTTAATATGGATATTATTTTTCAGAACCATACATGACATTGCATAACCCTTTAAGGAATCATTAAAGAGCTGCATATAGTTGTCAGGACCTAGTTTTGCACTGACACCCGAATACAGGATTATAGCTTCATTGGCAAAGATTTGTACTGCAGCACAGGGCTGTTCTCACATTACATAGATGCAAATGGAATATATGCACCAGACATCTTAATCAGAGCTTTTCTTCTCTGTCACTACCTTTTGACAGTAGGAAAAGTTGTAGACCTTTTCTGGTTTTAAAGAAACCATTATTAGTGGTTATTATTAACTAACTTAAGGGACTGCTTAGTACTATTTCCTTTAATCACAGGAAGTACATTTTTTCATAGCTAAATATGCTGCTGAAGTTAAATAGAAGCTTATTCCTTAGTCATGTCGAGAGTACAGTGTATCTACAGCACACAGGTGTTCTCTAAACACAGAAGTGTGTTTTGATCTTCTAATTTATTTTCTTCTGTTGTGGGGTAGAGCCCTCTGATGACTTGCACTCCTCAGAAACAGTGTAATGTTCAACATTCACCCTAATTCATCTTCCAAGTAGCATACATCCAAGGATGTATTTTTATACAATACAGTTCTCTTAACTGGCATATCCTAGCTGGTGCAAGTTTTGGTAGTAAACTGATGATTACTATTTTCAAAGGCACGTAGTAATTCTTCTGTATTTTCATTTGTGTTCAGAGCAATTCATGACTTTCAAAACATTGAAAAGAATTGAAACATTGGCTGGGGAAGTAAGTCTACTGTATGTTACCGTACTGGGAAACCGACTGCACGGTACTGTGTATCACAAGACGTTGTGCAGAAAGTAGCAGATGCCTATTGCACGTGCTAAGCTTCTGACCAATCTCTTTTTCTAAAAAATAAAAGCAGCCATGGCATAGATTTAATAACAGGTACAACTAGCACTGATAAATAAATATGCATTCTTCTCATGGATGTGTGTCGCTTGTGAAGATGCCAGTCGGTGATGTTGCATTGTACAATCAGAGAACTGACAGCATACATAATTAACCTCAGTTAAGTACTGTATAGGGCATAGATAAAGCACTCAGTAGACTGACATTTTAATAAGTTTTATGATGAGAATCGGTGATAAAAAGTAGAATTAACCTGATTTTTTTCCTACTATATAGGAAATGAACAATATCTCCTTGGCTGCAGACTACTATAAAGATGTCTTAAAACAGGACAATACTCACGTGGAAGCCATTGCATGCATTGGCAGTAACCATTTTTATTCAGACCAGCCCGAGATAGCCCTGCGGTTTTACAGGTATCTACACTTGTAGGAAGGGAGGGGGAACTGAACACATGGGAGGGTAATATGAAGGGTTGAGTTCTGTAATGCTGATAGCAAAAAGGAGATTGGCGTGGTAGGATGATTGAGTATTTGCACAAATATCTTCATGAAATCAGCATAACAACTTACATATCTTCTCAGCCAGTGATAATTACTTCTCTCTCTTAAAAACTTGTCATCATTACATACGGAGTATGTAGAAGTATCAACAAAGGTCATCAAAACAGTTATTATTTGATTAATAAACAAGAAATTATTTTTCACTGCGTGAGGCAGTTTGAGCCCACTGGACCTTACTCTCAACTTCAGTTGCATTCAGAAGGCACATGTACTTCCATTGTAGCCCTTTGAAAGAGTAGTCTATGAAAAACTCCACCTGAAGTCATGAGCAGTTGTGACCAAAAAAAACCAACCCTTACTTCAACGTGGGCTGAGGTTCACCATGTTTCACTGAAAGAAAGAAAGAAGAAAGATCGTGTTGAACAGTGCTGCTTTCTTTTTATTTCAGTACAGTCAGAGCACAAAGGAGCCTGGCTCATGTTCTTAAGTCTAAGAGCAGATTAATTGAGTATAAGCACTGTCATCTCATTTCTGTTGGACCTGAGCTCTTTTATGCTTTAGGTTCAGAAACACAGTCATGCTCCAGACAGCAGCCCTCTTTTTCCCTGGCCCTCTTAGCGTATCTGGTTTTCCTACAAATATTAATAAACAGAATTTTTATAAAACATCTCAATTCTACAAGACATTAAACAACGTGAATTTGAATCAAAATGTGAGTTACACTTCAAATGTAACATTAATGTAGATTCACATACTAGATGTACTAGTACTGATTAGAGCAATGCTGAAGGACAGGAATCTCAAAAAATTGAAGTCTGAAGGGTTATAAAAAGTAGCTGCAACAAATTACAGCTTGACTGAGGTTGAAGGATTGGGAAGAGGAAATGGAGAAAGTCTGCAGACAGCTCTGTCTTACAGTAAAGTCAGACCATGTGTCACAGTCAAAAAGACAGAAGTTATGTAATTTGCACAAAGACTGTTTTGCACAGCTTTGATTCTACTCATCAGAAATGCCCTGCACTGCCCTTCAGGAAACTGTACCAAGTGTAAGACTAATGCTTGGTTATTACACCCTCTCAGAACAGGGAGAAAGGAGGAGAGAACTTGGTCATTTGGAATAAAACTCTTATTTGCAGTTAATCTAAAAAAATAAATATTTTCTTTCAATCTAGACGGCTCTTACAGATGGGTGTATATAACTGCCAGCTTTTTAACAATCTGGGCCTTTGTTGCTTCTATGCCCAGCAATATGACATGACACTATCTTCATTTGAACGTGCGCTGTTTTTGGCTGAAAATGAGGAGGAGACAGCAGATGTGTGGTACAACCTGGGACACGTGGCTGTGGTATGAAAAATATTAACAACCTTTCTGGAAAAATACAATCTTACAAAAACCAAAACAAGACTATCTGGGAAGGAGTCATTGCCTTACTTTGAAATATGGAATCCAGTAGTGTACTAGAGCACTAGACCGATTCTGTTGTCATAAAAATATGTCTCCAGCAGCATGTAGCAGACACTAAAGCACTATGTATGCCATAGTTGAGAAGGCATGTTCCTCTGTCTTACAGGCAGCTATAGAAATATTGTGTAGTTGTGTGATAAAGTTTGTTAAATTTCTACACTAATTTGCAGTCATTGCCCATTTTTGCAGATGTTCTTCCAGAAGTTGTATTAGATTTCTGTCTAGATGCCTGCCCAGAATAAGGTTACTGAAAAATGTTTTTGACAGCTTTCTAATAAGAGGTGTGTTCAAATGCTGATTATGATTTAACTTAAGTCAGAGAGAAACTCAGCTGTTCTTCTTGAATGTACTGCAATGGGGCTAAACACATTAATTTATATTGCCTAAAACAATAAAATTTAAACTGATGTGCCTGTAGTTTTCAGCATTTGTCACTTCTAATGTTTAACCTGATGCTCTATCAGTGTTGGTCATAACACCAGAGCATTAAAGAGTAGTTGGCTGCTCCATACAAAGCAATGAATCTCCCTTAATTTTTATCTTCTAAAAACTAGGCTTATATGTGCTCTTTTTTAGCCTGTGTAGAGACAGAGGGGCAAGGTGACTTCCCCTCTGTAGACACCCCTGTTTTTCTTACCCTACTACAGACAGTAGCAGATAGCATAGTCTTTAGAGGAAACTTTAGTCGTCTAAAGGTTAAATTAGATGAAGTTAATATCACTTGGAGCATGGAAGTTTGTGCTGGAGAGAAACGATTCTGTCTGGAGGAAGAATAAGAAGTAAAATAGAAGCTCTGGGAAGAAACGATACATGATTTTGATCAGTGTATTTTTATTGTAATTTGTATTCCATGCTAGTACCTGTGGGTGAAAAGATACTGCAGACAACAGAACAGATGCATGTTGTTTCCAATCTTTTGACAAATTAAAATACGATCTTACTTTCAGGGCATAGGAGACCTGAATCTGGCTTACCAGTGTTTCAAGCTAACGTTAGTCAACAATAACGACTATGCGGAAGCTTACAACAACTTGGCTGTGCTGGAAATGCGGAAAGGTCACACTGAACAGGTTGGTGTTGAACCTCAGCCTGAGCAGAATGCCTCCTTTGGCCCTTTTATACTTAAGAAACGTGTCATTGCCCTGAGGTGGAGACATCATAAGAACATCTAGCTTTACTGTTACAGGCAGAAAACATGGATAACTTCTGTGCATGTTTCCGTGTAACCTCCACGTTGTCATGCCATCTCGCGTTAAACTGCTCATTCTTAGGCATGTGGAAGTGGTTCATCAAAGACAAGGTTTACCGTGTCTTTGCAGTTGTTGAGATCTTTTTTCTAAATTGATACCCTAACTAAAACCCCTCACTCTCTAATTGTCACTGAAATTACTGTTTCGACTGTATTTGCAGTTTATAAATGTAGATAAGGTACTTTTGCTGGGTGGCACAAAGCAGCAATCAGATGAGCTCTTAAAAGTCTTTTTTTCTACAAGGAGATTTCTTTAGCGTTATATCCCAAAGCAGCAAGTTCTTGATACATACACTTGCATCAGTAAGCTCGGTGGTTCATCTTACCTAGTGTGAGTACACTAAGATGTATTGCGCTTAGATGTACAATTGGCACGCGCGGTGGAGTAAATGCATTCGTTTTTATACACATGCAGGGGAAGTGAATAGGCATTTGTTGGACAGTTTGAACCCCTGTGGGCTTATTTAAATCCTTATGGAAGCAAGCCTGTTTTGATGGATTCACATATACATCAGAGAGCTACAATATGATATAAAGACTTGTAAATACCTTTCTCAAGGGCAGATTCTCAAAGTTAACTTTAATCAGATACCTAATAATTACCGTGGAAACACTGAAATGAACCCAGCACTGGATGTTTCCAGTGACAAATAAATTTTGAGGTTAGTTTCAATTTCATAATCAGTAAATTTACAAACATTTAATTCCCAGGTAGAACTTAGGTCCAGTTGTGAAGGATGTGAATGCTAATAATTAGCACTGCAGAGCCTTTCCATTATAGTTTCCTGCCCATTCAGGTTGTTAACTTAAGATTTTTCCATTTTCTTCTTGTATCACTTGTATAATTCAATATCAGCATCATCATAGCAATAAAATTATGCACAGAAGAATAAAAAACTCTTCTGGAGGTGTATTGCTTATCTTGGATTTTCTTTTATTTCACAGTGTTCTTTCATCAGTACTGTTGCATGTACTCAGAGGTGTCAGATTTACAGAGTTTTAATAAGTTCTTAACTCTGCCTTCCCCAACAGTATACAGATACTTTTGTTTTTAAAAGATTGGGGTTTTTCCCCTGAAGTTCTCAATTTTTTACAAAAGCATGCACGAGTTGACCTTAATTTTGTCTTGGATTTACATAATGAAAATGCACACTCTGATATTAAATTTTTGATTAGTTTTTGATGCTATTATTGTCCTATTCAGAAAAAAAAAAGAGTTCATTTTATTAAAATTTTTGAGTGTGATAACTCTCATTTTTATTATAAAATTTAGGATTTCTAGGAAGCTTAAGACAGTGCTGTCAGGGGCAACAGATAAATACAGTGGGGTGTAATTTTCAATACTTTTTAAAATCAGTATATTCTGTTCAATGTTTAGATCTGAATTGCTTAATTGAATAAGTCCCAATATATTTTTTCTCACTCAACCAAGAGTCTTATTGATTTCAATGCTATTAAACTGTATGATGCCTAAATGTACGATTGATGTAACTCATACATAGTGGAAGATGGCTTTCTTAGTAAGAAAACACAGGATGATCTCTTGTAAGAAAGATGAAAATTGCATTGGATTCTTGTTACCCTCCCACCCTCACATATTTCACTTTTTTCCCCCCTTTCTCTACATAGGCAAGAGCTTTGCTGCAGACTGCTTCGTCTTTAGCACCTCATATGTATGAGCCCCATTTCAATTTTGCAATACTCTCAGAGAAGGTAATGCACTATGTTATTCTTGTAATCTAAAAATTGAGCCTTGATGGGGCAGTTGGGTTTTTATTATTACTACTGAGAATTCCAAATAGATATGACAAAAGTATACAGAGTGCGTGAACTCAAGGAAAACTAAAGTTACATTTTCATTTTAATACCTAGAAGCTTTGTCTGTAAAAGTAGTCATTCAAAAAATGTTCCATTTTTTATTCCTCCTCATGTCAAGTGCTGGGCATGGTGTACCTTGTTCTCCATACTCCAAGAAGTCAGGTGAAATGGGATATAAAGTTACTGTCTTGAAGCATCACTCCCATTAAAATCTCATTTCTGTTTTTTTCTTTTCATCCCTTGATGTAAGGGGGACATAACCCTGAGTTCAAAAGCCTCCATACTGGCTCTCTTTTTATTTGCTCCCTCTCAGGACCAGTTCCATTTCAACATTTGTGAGCATCAGGAATGTGCTGCACACAGTACGTGATGCCAATACTGCATGGAATGTGCTTGGATTTACAAAATTAGTTTGTGTGTTTCTTACAGGTTGGAGATCTTCAGAGGAGTTACACTGCTGCTCAGAAGTCAGAAGAAGCATTTCCAGGCCATGTTGATACACAGCAGCTCATCAAAGAGTTAAAACAGCACTTTGCTATGCTCGGATGAGGGTATTTTTTGTTACGTAACGACGGTTAGCCAGAGCAAATGTCCCAGACATCTTTCTGAAAATACTAGCTCAAAGTAGATAAACTGTACTTAATGCATCCCTGTGGCAAAGCCTGTGTTACATCGAGTAGCAGGAAAGGTTTAAGAGTCCTAATTAGTTTCTGTCATCTTAAAACATATCACTTATTAAAATGCAGCTAGAATTTGTGTTGCAACTCCATACAGGAATGGCAGGATACTGCCAGGATGACAACTTTGAAATAGTTGTCTGGGGTATGAGCAAGTAAGTCTCCATTTAATATTAATGAACATTTGAAAGGATTTTTTCCTGGCTTTTGTGCAGAACAAAGTGTTTTGAAATATACATGTGTAATCATCTGTCAAGTAACACAGAGTAAGAGTACTGCCTAGCTGGTCTTCAAAATTCTGATTGTATGCTTTCTTACTTAATGTTGCGTTTTAAAACTAAATACGTAAAACCAATTTAAAATACGTATGTAAAGCAGAAGTTCTTCTATTCCTTGTTGTACTGTATGAATTAAATAAATTCCAGTTGGCATAGTTTGTCTTGTTTGTTTATGTAAGGTAAAATTACATTCTTATTGCTATGAAAATCAGGGTCCGTGGTCTTAACCTATTTTGAAAGACTCCCCAGAACTGGTACAAAACAGCATAAATAATACGTGTGTTCCTTTTTACCCAGGACACAGTTTATTCTTGGTATCTGTGAGAGAAAAGGGTATTTAGAAGTTTGCAGATTCAAGAGCTAGTAATCAAGAACAAGGCATTGATTGAGTGGTTACCTGTGCTACCTCATAAGCACCATTGCTACGTAAATATTTGGATCATCTTAACTACAAGAGTACTGCTAATAGCAACAAGCACAGACTTTCTCTCTGTCATATACATTTGTGTTCTAACTAAAAGGGATAAATTTGCGTGATTTCCCAACTTGACCTTTTTAAAAGACGTTTAAGCATGGTAGGATGTGACGGCATTCTGAAACGGCACATCCTGAAACAGGCCTTTAAAATCTTTTCATGTTTCTCTCATATATCAAGGGATTATCTTGGCTTAGGGAGCATCCCTAAACATGCTTATGAATATTATGTCTTCCTTTTTACTCTTCGTTACTTCCCCACCCTCATTTGTATGGCGGTTGTAGCTGGTGAAGGCAGATGCTGGGGAGCTTAGAGAGGTGCACCTACAGGCTGCCCCACAGAGCCGTCTGTCGGTGACACAAACACCATCCCTGACGGGGTCACGTCATGGTGTGAAATGCAGAAGCATTATTGGCTGAATGGATGCAGCGTCTTTAATGGACATTCTATTTTTTCCACATTGATCTTTATGTTGTCGGAAATTTGTCACAGACTAATTAAGACAGAACTTTAATTAATCAGTAATTTTCATTACCTAAATAAGATTTTACATTCTCCTAAAAAGGAAGAATTTACAGGGGAGTTCCATCCTTTGATCTACTATACTTCAGTCTTCCCAGTTGACAGCGCTAAATTTAGGAAGGTACCAGAAAATAAAATGTTTGTTGTAGCAGTTCAGACACAACTGTTGAGCTTTTTTTAATGTCATATTATTCACTCAAAGTATTTTCGAAGTTGCAGAGTAAATAAGATTATTTCTACACTGACTGCCACAGAAACTAATCAATACAACTCCGGTTTTCAATCCACTGTCAGAGCTCAGTGGTTCCTCATAGGTGCTTACAAGTTCCCACTTACTGTGATCGCTGCTCAAGTTAATGATCTGAACACCTCTTCTTTTTAGCAAACAGTACTCCTTAGAACATAGTTCATGATTGTTCTTTTAATATTGAGGGATGTGTGGAGATTGAAAGGGAAAGGCGCCCGTATGGTAAGGAATTTACACAAGATGCTTGTGCAAATTAATTAGGAAAAAGCCCCACCCCACACACAAGCACACAGAGTTCTAAATAAGGATTAAAACATTTTTAGCTCTCTAACGTGCAGCATCTGCAAGCCATTCCAAATTTATCTTACGTGGTGTGTTTTGATTGCCCCAAAAGGCAGCAGCTATTTGTTTTGGTGACATTTCACGCCCCAAAGCAAGGGTAAAATGGTGGTTTTTTTCATGACTAGCACACGTACAAATTAAATCAAATGTGGTGACGAGAACAGCACCACAATGAAACAACAGATGAATGAGCAGGCTGTTTGTCGTGGAAGAATATTTTGATTTTGTTGTATGTTAATTAGGTGCGAGCTGCAACGAACAGATGAATCGGCAGGCCCTAGGGCAAACTGCCTTCAGTTAATTGAGGACGACACAGCGCAACGCAGAGCATCAGAATCTGTATTCATCTCTGCGGGAGGATCGTGGTAGGACGGAATGACCTTAATATTGCAAGCAGCATTTCTGTAACACAGAAAACATAACACAAACAATTTTTTAATCTACAGGGGAGATGGTATCCACGACAGTGCTGCCTGCAAGGAAGTTCAAAGCAGTTTGCTGGGAGCTCTTGAAGTCTCTATTTCCCTGCAGGAAAGATCTGTACAGTTTATGGCTGTTACCACCTATTCTAGTCAGTCTGTCAACCAGCCCTCTTGTTGGAGTCTTTCCGATGGATGAATCTATTTAGGAGTTGATATTGAAGGGTTAGGTCAATGGATTTTGATTGTTTGGCAAGGTGTTGTAACCACAGCACCAGCCACGAAACTGTGGCTGAAATGAATCAGAATTCACAGTTAAGGGTTGTGGATCACTTTGGCTGCAAAAAGCATCCTTGGGGGTGGTTGGACAGGACAGGAGCCGTTTGCTATTAGGTGCCAGTTCAGTCACTAACACTTTGGATAATTAACCAGTTTTGTTGTTGTTGCTGGTTTGGGATTTTTTTTTTTTCTTTGACTGCTTCCTATCTTTGTAGGCTAGAGGGAGAGATTTCTGGGTCATTCAGTCTGATCTCTAATATGACATAGGCCAAATGTTTGAAGCCAGGAGCTCTTTTTAACGAACCCAGTTTGTGCGTGACTAGCGATTACCTGCCAGAGCAGCAGCAAGATTGGGTACAATAAAGCTACAGCAACTGAATGAAAGATTTTGTACGTAGTCACTCTACCATGTGTTTGTTTTCTTTCTGATGGATGACTTCTAGCTCATTCATGTCCCTCTGCTTCACCTGCCCCCCAACCAGTGGGCTCCCTTTATACCCCAGTTGCTGAACTATCATTAGGAGCTCCTACAGCTGAGAAGGACCGTGGCCATTTTCATAGAATCACAGAATGGTTTGGGTTGGAAGGGATTTTAAAGACCATCTAGTTCCAACCCCCCTGCCATGGGCAGGGACACCTTGCACTAGACCAGGTTGCTCAAAGCCTCATCCAGCCTGGCCTTGAACACTTCCAGGGATGGGGCATTTTTTTTGCCTCCTTTAGACAGTCCCTGCTTTGCCTCTGTCACCAGAGCCGTCACTGGCATCTGTGATGGTTATTTTTGACTTAATACGCTGTTTCCCTACCATAGAGAGCATGAAATAGAGCTTAGAGAGCCCTTTGTACCAACCCACCTGTCTAAACCAGGACATGCCGTTGCTGTGAAAACTTACTGGCAGGTATCAGGTATCCGCTTCAGCAAGGGCAGAGCTGGACAGTCTGAAAGGCAGGTCCAAAATCCCTTCAAGTTAAGTGCAGGGGAAAAGCAGCTGCCTACCAGGAAGCTAAATAAGCTGAGTAAGAGGCTTCGTGAGATTCCCCCCCATCCCTCATCTACTCCAGAGGAAGTCCCAAAATTGCCATTTTAGCATCTTTCCAGGCGAGAACATTTTATGTTGCACACAGCAGTATAAATCGTGGGGCACAACGCCACTGTGGAATTGGACTCAAAGAAAGGGTGAGCTTTCATCAGAGGGCCGGGACGAGAGGCAGCTCACCCAGTTTTCTCTGCTTGTTGGAATTTATTTAAGGTCTAGGGCTGCTGCAGACTTTGAGTTCCCAGCAGATGCCTGTGTGTACACACACTAATTCTGCACTGCTGAGCTCTGCCGGCCACTGGGTAGTCCTTCACTGATGCCTCAGCCATCACCAGCAACAAGTGAGCAGATGGTGGATGTAGAATGCAAAATGCCCCTTTCTCTTTAAATAAAAACAAAACTAAGTTTCTCTTTGGGTCTTAGAAGGTGAATGAAACAAAAGCCAAAAATGTGATGCACAATGCGATTGCTCACTACCTGCTGACCGATGCCCAGCCAGTCCCTGAGCAGCGGCCAACTCCCCCCTGCCCAGCTTTATCTGCTGAGCGTGATGTCACGTGGTATGGAATATCCCTTTGGTCAGTTGGGGTCAGCTGTCCTGGCTGTGTCCCCTCCCAACTTCTTGTGCGCCCCCAGCCTCCTCGCTGGTGGGGTGGTGTGAGGGGCAGAAAAGTCCTTTACTGGTGTGAGAAACTGAAAATCTGCTGAGCACTGCTCAGCATTAACTGAAACATCCCTGTGTTACCAACATTATTCTCAGCCCAAATCCTAGAGGCAGCACTATACCAGCTACTCTTCCTGGTATAGCAGGAAAATAAAATTAACTCTGTCCCAGCTGAAACCAGGGCACCCTGATACTGAAATCGTAGACAGAGTTGTCTCTCCAGTCACTCTCCAACAGCATTTGAACTCCCGTGCTGGTAAGACACTCTGATTTCCCTATTCACATTTTCAGAGTTTAGGAGTGCTCAGGAGCTGCAAATGCTCAGAAGCATCTGTAAGCAGGTTATATCGAGGAGATACGTCACCAGAGAAACCAGTTTTTATTGTAAAACTACTGATTACCCATACCCTGAATTACACTGACTGACGGAATGATCTGGACAAGTACTATCCTTGCCTTCTTTCTGTTGGTTAGTTACAGCAGTTGCTTAGTGCACAGCCTTCTCCCTTCTTACGTTCAGTTTGCAAAGGGATCATAAAGGTTCAGCTGAAAGACTTCCTAGTTACTGTATCTGTATAGAATATGCAAAACCAAAATACCAAATCAATGAATTTATAGGAAAAAGCTCTCTTCCCAACACATGCATTATGTTTAATTGTATATGTGAATATATCAACCCAT